TCTCATAGTATTTACCTGTATTCATTTTTTATTGCTGTTTAACAAATTACCAACACTTAGCAGCTCAAAACCACCCATATTTACTATATCACAGTTTCCATACATCAGGAGTCCAGACACGATTTAGCAGGGTCCTCTGCTCAGGTTCTCACAAGGTTGCAATCAAGGTGTCAGCCAGGTGGCACTCTCATCTGGAGGGCTGACGGAGGAAGAATCTCCTTGTAAGCTCATTCAGGTGCCAGGGGCTGTTCTCAGCTCCTAGAGAGCTGAGCCTAGAGGCTCCTAAAGTTCCTTGCCATGTGACCCTCTCCATAGGTATTCTCATAACCTAGTAGCTTAGTTAGTCAAAGAACAGAGAGAGTCTCTCTTACTCCAGTATGTTCAGATAGAATTTTATATAATCATAGGAGTGGCATCCCATCACCTTTTCCATATTTAGTTGGTTAGAAGCAAGTCACAGTTTCTACCCACACTCAAGAAGGGATTTTCAAAGGGTATAGATGATTGGGGATCACCAAGTGATCACCACATGACCTTTTAGAAAGAGAGACAGTAAGAGCGGGACAGATGTTCTACCTTAAAAGGACTTATCAGATAAGTCCTATTTGGGTAGGTACCACTTGACCCCTGAGGTATCACTTGATCTCTGCTACGCAGAGATCTGGTAGAAGAGTCTTTTTGGCTTAGGAAACAAGCAAAGGCCTTGAACTGGTTAGAACAATCTTGGTATATTTGAGAAATAAACAGAAGGCCAGTTTTTACACCTGAAACTAATGTAACATTATGTGTCAACTCTATCTAGATTAAAAAAAATAATTTAGGGATGCCTGGGTGGCTCATTCGTTAAGCGTCTGCCTTTGGCTCAGGTCATGATCCCACGGTCCTGGGATCGAGCCCCACATTGGGCTCCCAGCTCCGCAGGAAGCCTGCTTCTCCTTCTCCCACTCCCCCTGCTTGTGTTCCCTCTCTCGCTGTGTCTCTCTGTCAAATAAATAAATAAAATCTTTAAAAAATAATAATAATTTACAAATATTTTTTTCCAATTGAAATGAGAAAGAAAAAAAAGGAGGCCAGTTTATTGGAGCATGGGAGATGAAGTTAGAGAGGTAGGCATGTGCCACGTATACAAGGCTGGTAGGTAATAATAAGGGTGTGGATCATTTGCCTATTTGCTCTCAGTTCATTACCTTCCCTTTTCTTCTTTGTTCAGGAACTGACTCCTACAAACTTAATTTCCAAGACTCCCTTGTCCACTGGCTTCCAGTTAGCTTCAGCCTATGGGAGGTACAAGGCTAAGTTAAAACTGCTTAGAATGACACAAGGCTCCCTCTCATTCATTCTTCTGTTCAACAAATAATTATTTCCTATTGTGCTCCAGGCTCTATTACTAGGCTACTGTGGATACAATAAGCAAAACAATCAGTCTCTGCTCTTGCAGAACTCTGTGATACCAAAGAAGTTACACTTCCTCAAATACACATGCCTTTGTGCTTGCTGTTTTATTTGCCAAGAATGCACTTTGCCCTTCTGACTATCTCAATTTTTTTCACCACACAACACCCAGCCAAATAGTACTACCTCTAAGAAGATTCCCCTAATCCCACAGCCAAACAGAATTAATTATCCCCTTTTTTCATTACCTTTTTTTTTTTTTTAATAAGCTCTAGGCCCAACATGGGGCTTGAACTCACGACCTCAGAGATCAAGAGTCACAGGCTCTACAGACTGAGCCAGCCAGGTGCCCCTTCTTAGCATTACTTCTATACCTTTTATAAGCTTCTAATATTGAGCTTGTCAAGCTGCATTTTGATTCCTTGCTTTTGTTTTCCCCCTACTAGATTAAAAAGAGGGATGATCTCTTATTTATCACTCTATCCCCAGCAATAAGCATGGTAACTAGTGTATAACAGGTCCTCAATAAAGACTGTTGAAATGAACTGAATTGGAACTGCACTGCCTTTATGACAGGGTGAATAGGGATGGTGCTGAGATCTTGGAATTCCTACAATCTATAAATCTTCCATTTGACCTAGGAATAGGGTAGTTAGGATAACAACTGATCTTCATGAACACCGTCATTTTGCCTCTGGCTATATATTTTAAGGATACTTTCATGTTTCATTCTACACTAAAATAGCCTTTTTCAAATTAGGATCGCTATTTAAGTCATGTTATTACATAGACAGTATTAATACTTCAGACCTAAGTTTAAGAAAGCAGGAAGTGACATGGCAAACATTCACTAACTTAGATTAAGTCGAGGGAAAGGGCACCTGAGTAAATGAGTGAATGAGGTCTGACTCATGGGATATATAAATATTTTATTTAAAGAAACCAGCGTGTCAAAGTAATAATGAGTTAAACTTATATGAGTCTTTTTTTTTAAGATTTTATTTATTTATTTGTCAGAGAAAGAGAGAGATTAAGAGAGAGAGAAAGCACAAGCAGGGGAGCAGCAGGCAGAGGGAGAAGCAGGCTCCCCGCTGAGCAAGGAGCCTGATACAGGGCTCGATCTCAGCACCCCGGGATCATGACCTGAGCCGAAGACAGACGCTCAACTGACTGAGCTACCCAGGCGTCCCAAACTTAATAATGAGTCTACAAAAGAGCATGAAATATTGGCCCACTTAAAATAAAAATGATGGGCACCTGGGTGGCCCAACTCTTGATTTTGGCTCTGGTCATAATTTCAGGGTTGTAAGATCTAGCCCCGTGTCAGGCTCCATGCTCCGCATGGAGCCTGCTTAAGATTCTCTCTCTCCCTCTCCCTCTGCCTTTCCTCCCCTCTCTAAAAAAAATTTTAAAAGTTAAAAAAATAAAAGAAAAATGTTTCTTGGAATCTTATTCATGTTTTCAGTTGACTTGCTAAGGAAATTTTTTCATACATAACTTCAAGTCAGCCCCTGAAATTTGTTCATATTTTGAATACATTTATATTTATATAAATGTGTATTTTATAGGATTAGAATCTGAATTTATATTTATAGTTTACACAATTACCATCTGAAAATAATTGGCTTTAAGATTTATGCTTTTGGGGGAGCCCGGGTGGCTCAGTTGGTTAAGTACCCAACTCTTTTTTTTTTAATATTTTATTTATTTATTTGACAGAGAGAGACACAGCGAGAGAGGGAACACAAGCAGGGGTAGTGGGAGAGGGAGAAGCCGGCTTCCCGTGGAGCAGGGAGGCTGATGCGGGGCTCAATCCCAGGACCCTGGGATCATGACCTGAGCCGAAGGCAGACGCTTAATGACTGAGCCACCCAGGTGCCCCCTCTTTTTTTTTTTTTTTTAACATTTTATTTATTTTACTTGAGAGAGAGAGAGAGAGCACAAGCTGGGGGAGCAGCAGAGGGAGAGGGAGAAGCACACTCCGCAGTGAGCAGGGAACTGACTCAGGGCTCAATCCCAGGGCCCCACGATCATGACCTGAGCGTTGGGCTCTGCATTCAGCAGGGAATCTGCTTGAGAGTCTCTCCCTCTGCCCCTCCCTCTGCATGCACCCGCATGCTCTCTCTCTCTCTCTCTCTCTCTCTCTCAAATAAATAAATTTTTAAAATCTTAAAAAAAAGATTTATGGGGGCGCCTGGGTGGCTCAGTTGGTTTAGCGACTGCCTTCGGCTCAGGTCATGATCCTGGAGTCCCAGGATCAAGTTCCGCATCGGGCTCCCTGCTCAGCAGGGAGTCTGCTTCTCCCTCTGACCCTCCCCCCTCTCATGCTCTCTCTCTCTCTCTCATTCTCTCTCTAATAAATAAATAAAATCTTTAAAAAAAAGATTTATGTTTTTATAGGATAAATTAGCTCAAATTCTTCACAAATATTATTTTAAGAATATCAATGAAATTCTAGGACTGTATCCTAAGAAAGTATTAAAAAAGGCAGACAGGGGGCTGCTTGGGTGGCTCAGTCAGTTGAGCATCTGACCCTTGATTTCGGTTTAGGTCATGATCTTAGGGTTGTGAGATCAAGCCCCATATACCCCCCTCCTTCTGCCTCTCTTCATCCTGCACTCTTTCTCTCTCTCAAATAAATAAATAAATCTTAAAAAGAAAAAAGAAAAGGTAGACAAGGGGCGCCTGGCTGGCTCAGTCAGTAGAGCATGTGACTCTTGATCTCTGGATTGTGAGTTCAAGCCCCACATTGGGTATAGAGATTACTTAAATAAAAATTTTTTAAAAATAAAATAAAATCTTTTTTTTAAGATTTCATTCATTTATTTGACAGAGAGATAGAGAGAGAGCACAAGTAGGCAGAGTGGCAGGCAGAGGGAGAGGGAGAAGCAGGCTCTCCACCGAATAGGGAGCCGGACGTGGGGCTCAATCCCAGAACCCTGGGATCATGACCTGAGCCGAAGGCAGCTGCTTAACCGACTGAGCCACCCAGGTGCCCCTAAAATAAAATCTTTAAAAAAATTTTTTTGAAGTTACAGGATAGTTACTGAGCATAAATAAACTTTTATATTAAGTGACAGAAGTTACAGGATATTTATTGAGCATAATCTAACCTATATAGAGTAATATAATATGTGTTACTTTCAACAGATAAAGTACCTAAATAACAGGCATCAGCAGTGTAAGACTAATGCACTTTTACAAAACCAGGACATGATTCACAAATAAGAATTATGAAGGAGAATAGCTAAGTATTTTTTTAAATTACAGAAACAAATCAAACCACTGGACATACCATTAAATAATACAAAAATTCAAGGGGATCAACATAAGGGTCTGGAGCACCTGAACTTAGCCATGGGTAACAACGGTACACAGACACAAAGGAAATTCCAAGACTGACCATTGGAAGAAAATTATTTTTTTTTAAGTTTTATTTATTTAAGTAATCTCTATACCCAACTCTGGGCTCAAACTCATGACCCCCGAGATCAAGATTTGCATGTACCTCTTACTCAGCCAGCCAGGCACCCCTGGAAGAAAATTATTTGAGCTCTCTCCTTTTCTCCAGCACTGTGGTGTGTGTGTGGGGTTGACTGTTCCTTACCATGTCTTCTCACAAGACTTTCAGTATCAAGCAATTCCTGGCCAAGAAACAAAAGCAGAATCATCCCATTCCCCAGTGGATTCAGATGAAAACTGGTAATAAAATCAGGTACAAATGTAAGAGGACACATTGGAGAAGAACTAAGCTGGGTCTATAAGGAATCACATTGAGCTGGCACACATATTTATGTTGCATGAAAGTCACGTGCTCATAACATATCACTCTGCAAACATCACTACTACCTGAATGATAGACAGGTTGGATTGGGAAAATGATTCTTCTCTGTTACTATGCTTTTGCACCAATAGGTTGGCTCAGTAATAAATATGAGATCTTTTGTTGGAAAAAAAAAAGAGAGAGAAATATTGAAACTATAGTGGTTAAAAGAATCAAAGTGGATAATGGAAGAATTTGAATATGGAGTTTTTCAGTAGTTCTACATTTTCAGGATTTGGTTAATTCTATATAGTAAGAAAACCATATCAAGTTATCAAGTCATTGGATCAATTCAAAGAATACCTTTTTTTTTAAACCCATGCAGAGGGGCACCTGGGTGGCTCAGTCATTAAGCGTCTGCCTTTGGCTCAGGTCATGATCCCAGGGTCCTGGGATCAAGCCCTGCATCGAGCCCTGCATCGGGCCCTGCATCGGGCTCCCTGCTCAGCGGCAAGCCTGTTTCTCCCTCTCCCACTCCCCCTGCTTGTGTTCCCTTCTCGCTGTGTCTCTCTCTGTCACATAAATAAATAAAATCTTAAAAAAAAAACAAAACCCATGCAGAATGGCAATATTCAACATCCACAGAGTATCTTCTTATGTCAGTAAATCATCTAAATTGTTAAAGGAAACATTTAGGTGTAGTGTTCCAAAACTTTGGTTGTTTTGTTTTGTTTTAAGTAATCTCTACACCCATCATGGGGCTCAAACTCAGAACCCCAAGATCAAGAGTCACATGCTGTACAGACTGAGCCAGCCAGGTGCCCCTAACACTTTGGTTTTAGATCTGCTATTGAGTCTACTTCTATGCTTCTGTGACTTCAAACAAATCATTTCATTTCTCTAGACCTCAGTTCCTCATCTGTAAGATAAGTTTGGACTAGCTATCCCTGTTTCTTTTCAGCTTTAAAACCCTATTAATTTGGGGGCGCCTGGGTGGCTCAGTCGTTGGGCATCTGCCTTCGGCTCGGGTCGTGATCCCAGGGTCCTAGGATGGAGCCCCACATTGGGCTCCCTGCCCATGGGAAGCCTGCTTCTCCCTCTCCCACTCTCCCTGCTTGTGTTCCCTCTCTCACTGTATCTCTCTCTGTCAAATAAATAGAATCTTTAAAATAAATAAATAAATAAATAAATAAATAAATAAATAAATAAAACCCTATGAATTTGTATCACAAATTTCCTATTTTAGGAAAACTACATTTAATGAGAGGTTTTATTTCTATCCTAAAGGACACAAGTTGAAAACAGTTTTAAGAAAAAGCCTTTCTACAGTATTTTATATTAGTGGAAATGTAGTGATTCTTTGTTTAAACTTACTCATGAAATAGGTGGAGCTATTTATATAATTTTGAGTCCTGAGTTATACAATTTTATAGGAAAAAGATCACCGTTTTTTACACTTTTCTTCCCTTTTGTTTCATTTTTCTTCTTTTTTTAATATTTTTTAAAAAGATTATTTATTTATTTATTTATTTATTTATTTATTTATTTGACAGAGAGAGACACAGCGAGAGAGGGATCACAAGCAGGGGGAGTGGGAGAGGGAGAAACAGGCTTCCCCCCGAGCAGGGAGCCCGATGGTGGGGCTCAATCCCAGGACCCTGGGATCATGACCTGAGCTGAAGGCAGACCTTAACAACTGAGCTAACCAGGCACCCCCATCTTTCTTCTTAATGTGTGTGATTCCCACTGTTCATAGCCAGAATGTAGAAGCAAGTGATTTTTCCACTTATATGCTAATATGTGATCAAAGTATATAATTTACCCTTTGTAATCTCCAGAAAGGTCTGAATCACCCGTTACCACTTATTCAGAAATACTATGACTTATGAAAGTTACTAATCAATCAACAAGCATTTATTAAATCCTTTTTGGGGTATATAATATTGTATAAATGCTATATCAGTATTAACTTTTTTTTAAAGATTTTATTCATTTTGAGAGAGAGAGAGTGTATGTGCAAGCATGGGGAGGGAGAGGGTCAAGCAGCTCTGCTGAGTGTGGAGTCCCAGGCGGGGCTTGATCTCTCAACCCAAGATCATGACCTGAGCTGAAATCAAGAGTCCGAAGTTTAACTGACTGAGCCACATAGGCACCGCTCAGTATTAACTTCTAAAAACTCTCTATTTCAGTATAATGAGCATAACATAGTTATCTGATGTTGTCAAAGAAGTGATAAAAGCACAAGTTAGGGGGGCCTGGGTGGCTCAGT